GTGAATGCATTGTACTCCCAAAACCAAACAAAAAATTATTAAAACATTCGAACAGTAGTTTAATGATATACGTTTTAATATAAGCAGTGAGGTATTGACTCAGAGAAATGTAATGTTGTAGTTATTGAAATCCAATACTTGTTTGCAGCAACTATTACTAAATTCCACCATGTTGACATTATTAGCAGTTTTGCCAAGTTTTAAAAACAACAGCTGCGTTCAAAAATATCAAATGATGTCACCACAAGTCGAATATTTATAATGGGTGAGGGAATGGTTTCATTTCAAGGGACATAGTTTAAATAGATTTTTTTATATACATATTTACTTTTCAGCAATAAAAGCTTGAGTATACAATCCATACTTATTGTCAAATATTTTAGTAAAATTCAATTTATAAGAATATGCACAGATTTAATTGTATACATTTTTTTATTATTAGTTTCAGACCCAGGAACGACATGAGGGAATGACTTTTAGACTAATAAATTGATGTTATTTCTTGTGTCAATATTTAATCAAAATTTTTGCTTTTAAAATATTAGTGTAGATACTTATTCATATAATAAACATGTTAGATCGACGATAAATCCATGCATCAATGGCTCAGGACATGAATTTCGAAATTTGCTCAGAAATACCCACTAACAAATACAAAAATTCCTCTGTTTAATCATATTAGACGAAAATGCCCTGGTTTGCGAAATATACTAAGTGACATATAAATCCGAACACCCAGTTTAAATGGCTTTATTTTAATAAAAGTTGGTGAATGTATTTATCTTACTGTAAATAACAAGTGAACAAATTTTCAGCCTTATCAGTTGGACATTCCGGTTTTTATACTGCTTTTTTTTAATTCACTAACGCTCTAAAAATGAATATTTCAGCCGCAGTAAAGAATCAACGTTGGCAGATTTTGGTTCTTGACATCCTTTACGATCGGTTACGATGCCTAGAGTACGGAGACCTGTACGATTTAGTCAACTTAGTGAGTTTGATAGGAGTCGTATAGTGGGACTTCGGGAAGCTGGACTTTCTTTTCGGGCAATTGCAGTTAGAGTGCAAAGAAGTGTAGACACTGTGGTTAGGTGTTGTCAGGCATGGCTTCGAGAAGGCCGTACGCAAAGAGCAAGGGGCACTGGACGCCGCCGTAGAACAACAGACCGCGAAGATCGCCGCCTAAGATTATTGGCCTTAAGAGTCCGTTTCTCCACTACCAGGTCCATTGCAAATGAATGGTTTGCAGAACACGGAAGACCTATTGGCATGCGAAGTGTTTAGCGACGAATGAGAAGTTTTGGCTTGTTTTCATACCGGCCACACTGGGTCCTCCCTTTAACTCGAGAACACCGACGTAATCGCCTTGAGTGGTGCAGACAACGGTCACTCTGGGATCAGGAATGGAACAGTATTGTCTTTAGTGACGAGTCTCGATTTTGTTTAGGCATGCACGATGGTCGTGCCAGGGTTAGAGGGCGACGTGGTGAAAGGAGGAATCCACAGTTTTTTGTTGAAAGACATGTTCATCACACTGTTGGAGTTGGGGTGCTATAGCTTATGGTTCCAGGTCACCTCTAATCTTCATCAGAGGTAACATGAACGCGCAGCGTTATATCCACGAAGATCTAGAACCCCATCTTTTACCCTATCTTGACATCCTGGCAGATCCAACTTTCCAACAAGATAATGCCCGACCACATGTTGCAAGAGTCACAATAGACCTCTTTCAACATAATGATGTCACATTGTTACCTTGGCCACCAAGATCTCCCGACTTATCCCCAATTGAGCACGTGTGGGATATGATGGGTAGGAGATTCCTCAATTTGCAACGCCCTCCTCAGACTCTAGAAGCACTTCGAGAGGAGTTGGTGGTTGCCTGGAATGAGATACCACAGGAGGACATTGACCACCTGATCAGAAGCATGCCTAGGCGCGTTGGAGAATGCGTAGCACATCAGGGTGCATCCACACATTATTAAAGGTCAAAGGGCTTTAAAGCAGTGCAATCATTTTGAAATTTTTATCATTTACTTATTACGCTTCGTTAAGTACTTATACAAAATTTTATTAAAATAAAACCATTTAAACTGGGTGTTCGGATTTATATGTCACTTAGTATAATTGTAAAGCCTGGTTTCAGCGCTGCAAGTTGTTCAAGGGGGTATTTAAAACATGAACGTATAAAATGTGTACACCAATTTTTGTGGGAAAACTTTTTATTCGACAACAAAGAAATGAGAAAACTTGTTTTTTGGGATTCAATCGAAAGTGTTGGTAGGAACGAAAAACCTCTTGAAATGAGATTTTTAGGTATTTATGAGACCAACAGAATAAGATCACACTAATATCAAAAAAGTTACGACCGAAAACCGAGGCAAAATGCAGGTTTCGGCACTTGTTGGTAATGCGACTATAATTTCACGCAGATACTCAAAATATTTCAAATTCGTCGGATTCATACTTCTAAATAACCACAACAAATTGGAGTAGATTGCTCAAGTAGTTTCCGAGAATTTTTAATTGTTTATCCCAAAACACCTGTTTTTTCTTTGCTGCCAACATTTTCGATTGAATCCCAAAAAACACGTTTTCTCATTTTTTGTTTTCCCACAACAATTGGTATACCCATTTTATGTGTCCATGTTTCAAATACTCCATTGAATAACTTACATCAATAAAATCAAACTTTACAATTATTTTGAGGAAATTTGCCAATCTTATTAGACTATGTCCAAGACTACGCCAACGCCATAGAAATTGGGAAATTTTAACCCTTACAGAAGAAAGAATAACGTTATGTCGTGCGGCTTTTGGAAACATCCATTGCATTTTTGAATCAGGTATTTAATTTTACATGTATCGCCTCCCTTGAGAAATTCTTGTTGGATACCTTTTAAAGAAAAATTGATTTGAAGATTTGAATTGAAACCCTTTCAAATGCAAATACGCTGATGTTAGTGAATATATCATAAGAGTAATCGTATCTCGACATAGCCTTATTTTAACAATACTCATGTTTTTTAACATTCAAAGTTATCATTGGTGTAGAAATTCACATACTGTGTCTCGTAACGGGATATTATAGGTTATATTTTCATAGGAACTGTCATTTTTGATTATCTTTTCTGCTCCCACATATTAAAATTGTTTTTGAAATCAACCTATAGAGGATTAGACTAAACAAGTCTAATTTATGAGTCCTTGAAATAACGGAGATTTTAATTGGCACTTTGTCAGGAATGTTCTAAAATGTGAACAATTTGAATTTTATGTTATTTAACTTTTACATTGCCAAAACCACACTTACAGACCATTTTCCTTTATTTTTCACTTTCATGTTACACTCTGTATAATTGCCTGGACGACTTAGTTATCTCTCTTCTTCAGAAGTCCTGCAGATCGCAGACAGTCGGTAATAAGGTTCCTTTCATCTTAAGCCTGTTTCCGACGACAGCTGGCTCAACATAATCGACTGACTGGCTGTGCTAAACAGAAAAAACAGCCCTGGGAATAAGTGACGTGAAATAAGGGCTTCCAAGCTGAGAGCAGCTAGCCGTGTGCGGTTGAGGAAACGAATAATTGAGCGAGTAAGGGATGAGGTTAAAGCGTCGTTAAGCTGCTGTCATTAGATTAGAAGACTGATACTTGGACTACTACGGAGATAGCTGATGAAGGGCTTCAGCATTTCGAAAAAAGCCGCTAGCTATCTGACATCTTCAGGGTGATGCGTTAATTTGACATTATACAATAGGGTGGTTACAAAAGTAGTTGCTTTGTTTCCTAAAGCAGAAAGTACATCAAAAGATAACATAAAACACAATAAAAAATTATACGAATATAATCGAAATAATAATAATAAAGTTCACCAAATATTCCTATTAAAAAAAGAAAGCCCCCTCCATGCGGCAATAATTCGATCTGGCTGGAACTATACACAACTCAACCTTCACATAAACATAACCTACACTGGAACCGAAAATCAAGAATACCTGGGACAACGATGGTGAAGTAAGACTTTTCATGGAAGACATGTGAATATAGTACAAGATGAAAGCATAAACATAACAGCAACATATGATTGGCTGAAGAAAGGTCTTATATTTTCTGAAACAGAAGGGTTTGCGATTGCTATCCAGGACCAAGGTATAAACACAAGGAACTATTAGAAGTACATCCTGAGAGATATCTCCCTTGAAACAGATAAATTTCGAAAATGTAACATCTTTTCAGAGAGCTTCTAGCTTCCACGGAATATACAGTGAGACATAACAGTGAAAGGAAATTAATACACAAGGCACTAGCGAACAAACATGGGCTGACATGATGTAAAGAACCATACTATCAATACGAGTATACACCAGATACTACATATATAATGGAAAACGGAACACACAAAGTATACTGGGACAACCCTATCCTCACAGACAAGACAATTGTTGCTAATAGACCTTTCATAATTGTAATCGACAAAATAAATCGTGTAAACTACTTGGTTGATGTGGCAGTACCAAGCGATCATAAACATTAAAAAGATCGAAAAAGATATAGTAGAAGTAGTACCGATGATAATATCAGTGGCAGGTATCATACCACAGTCATTTATAAGCAATCTAGAACCACTTGGACTGAAAGCAGTTGTATGAGTATTTAGCACCACAGCATTGTAATAAAACTTATACACTATACTATAACTATCTAAAACTGTAATGACTCATCGATGTTCACGTGAACATCACTTAACTACCAGTAGTCGGCTGTTCATAGGCGGGGTATGAATGTTTAACATGGGTGAACTAGATTTGTCACATGCTTAATAAAGAGTGGTTTGAAACATATTGTAAGCAGGCACGTCGTGAATAACAGGTGCAAAAACGAGACACCACAAAGTTTAGAAACAAGACACCTGCCAGGTAAAAAACAAGACAGCTTTTATACCTTTGATAATAATGCCGAAGGTTTACGTTCCCAAAAAGCGCCCCTACGACTAAAAGAACATGGAAACAGCCCTAAAACTAATAGATAATGGCACTTTATCTCTTATAAATGCAGCTAAACAGTTTAAAATTGACAAATCTGCTCTTTCGAGAAGACGTACTCGTTTACTTGGTAAACAGGGAAGAAAAACTTCTCTAACCAAAGAAATGGAAATAGACTTAAGTGATAAGATAAAAATTATGGCAAAATGGGGGTTTGCTCCCACTAAACCAGAGATACAAGCAATAGTTCAAACCTATGTACAAGAAAACCACCTTACTACCCAGTTTAAGGAAGGAAAGCCTGGGAAAGATTGGTTTAAAAATTTTTGTAAGCGCAATAGACTAAGTCAAAAAAACGCAAAAACGCAAGTTTATTACGTGGCACAAAGCCTTAAAGTTTTTGAGAACGATGTAGAAGTAAAATATCTGAGGCGCAAAGGATTTAAATTTATTTTTCCGGTCATTGAGGAAAAGTACTTCATCGACAAAAGTGACATAGAAATGAAACTTCCCCAGCCAGAAATAGAAAGTAAGACCTGTCGTATCTCTCAGCAATATTTTTTCCTATCGACTTTGAAAAATAGGTCGTTCAATAATATGTAGTACAAAATACGTTAGAATAATAAGTTTTCTACTTTAGCTCTTAAAATCCTATTGAAAATCTTTTTACCCCTTTTTTGAATTAGGTATGGTTTATTTAACTTGTTTTTGGATTTGTTTTCTTTTTAGTTTAATAAACATAGTTTTGTATTTAATTATGTGAGTTTTCTTTAAGAACGTTGTCACAATTTAAAACCTAACTATGTTATTTGACTTACTAAACACTTTAAAAACCTTGCAGTGTGCCTCGTTTTTATTCCCCAGGGTCTCATATTTTGCCACACTGATGTAAAATGACTAAAAGGCCAGAAAATACAGTGTCTTGTTTTTAACCTCTCACTGGCTAATTTTTAGCCTAAATAGTGGTTAAAAACAAGACACGGTTTTTTAATAAAAACGCCCTTCATTATGAATATTATGAACTTTTTTTAACGTGAGGTATACTAAATGGCTTTCTATATACAGGGCAATATAACAAAGCCTTAAAGTCCGGTTTTTTGTTAACAAAAAATTAAAAGATTAAAAAATCGTCTCGTTTTTGCACCACTTGACCCTAGTACGATTCGGGAAACGATCATAAAAAATCCTTTCGGCCTCGTGAAAGCTACACGTCGCACCATAAATAAAAGTCGCTTACATTTTTTCTTCTAATGGACGAGAATTTACCATTTAAAAAATAGTTCAAACAGTATCTAGCACTAAAACCGAAAACTAAATAAGAATATTTTAACTGTACAATGATGTTTGTTTTCATACTGATATTCTTGTCACTGTCAACAAAAAATAAGAAAACAAGTTTTTATCGCTGTTGCTCTGGATACGGCAGGGAATTATAATTATTTGTAGAGATATGCATCTACGCATCAATTTCATTAGGTACCTCAAGTTTTAATTTTTTGAATTGATCCGTTCAAAAAATCAAAGGGGAGGGGGCAGAAAAGCACTGTATATAAATCAGAAACAAAACAACTGGACAGCGGCAGATGAAAGAGATGGCACTACTGCAAATCAGCCTAATATGGATCCGAGCACCCAACCTACAGATATACTCGTATAACCTCCAGCCTGACACAGACAGGGATACTCCACCTGCAACACAATTGACTCCGTGTGCTGCGGATGGTGTATGGAAGACGGAACTAAAAACATATTTCAAGCTAGTAGGTAGAACACATTCTTGTCTGTGACAGGAAAAGCCTAATGCCGGGTCCACATCAAAGCAACAAAAAAAAACAAGGAACAAAACAGAAACGCAACAAATGAGCAACTTTTTGGAAACAAAACAAAATGAAAACTTATGTCCACATTGCCAAGAGACAAAGAAGTTGTCGAGTTGTTTTGTTTCGTGCAGTTCACACCAAAAATATTCAGAGTGAAGATGTGTGTCGTTTTTATGGGGAAAGGCAGAAGCGCAAATGTCTGCTGGTTATGCGTTTCCCCAGAGTTGTGAGCGGGAAAATAAAAAACGCTTTTGGATCAAACCATCCTTACATGAAAGAGATGATCGTGGAATCGAAAAATTATTGTCCGATTTGCATAAAGATGATATTGGATTGCGAGGAGAAATGCGTTCTGGTTTCGAGAACTTTTTAAAAATGTCCAGTGAAAACTTTGAAGAGTTAATACAGCTGATCGGTTCTGAAATCTATGAACAAAATACCAATTTCAGAAATGCCATCAACATAGTTGAACGTTTGGCCGTAACACTAAGATATAGGGTACCCCCTATGTAGTTCAATGTTCAATTAATTTACTCGAGTTACACTCCACTTTAATTTTTCACCCGACACACTGCTATTTATTTTTAAACACCCTACACAGCGCCTTCGAATTTGATACCAGTTTCTGTTTTATATTTGTTTCACAACAAACTACACATCACACCGACGATGTTGCCTGAAATGAAAACAAAACAGAAACCTTTTGATCATTATCGATTCGCGACGGGTACGCCAAAAGTTGCCAGACACAGAAACAAAACACGAATTGTTGACGAAATGTTGCCGTTTTGTTACTTAATTGTTAAGTTGCTCTTTTGTTTGTTTGGTGTGGACCCGGCATAAGAAGACCAAAGTGCACTAAAAGTCTACAGAGTAAGGTAGCTCCTTCAACATGTCGGTGCCGCCCTGGAATTAAATAAGATGCGACGATGATAAGAATGCGACAAGAACGCATTGACGGATACATCACTTTGTTACATGGCGCAAAGATTACAACGATACGAAGATTGAGAGAAACAATTTATGCATAAAAAAATGTCCGCGATAATGACAAGAAACTGTATCGTCTCATTGCTGACCTGCCGTCGCTAGTGGCATTGGAAACGTTTTGGAGAGGCATTCTGGAGGTCAAAGTGGAACACTGCGACAAGACATATTATAATGTGGAAGAAGAGAAGGCTAGCCAGGAAATCAAATAGCAGGAATGGTGAAAAATCAGTGTAAACGACTTGCATGAAGCATTAAGTAGTACACAGAACAAGAAAGCACCCGGTCCGGATAAACTGCAGAACTGCTGGAAAAAGCAATATAGTACCTTACATCAAAGATAGACTAGGTCAATGAACAACATGCTGGATATCCCAAAATAATGCCGCAATGGCTAACAACAGCGGAAACTTTTCTTATGTATAAGGGCAAAGACCCTCGAGATCGGAAGAACTATCAACTCATTACTTGCCTGTTGACGCTGTATAAAATCCTGACGGGTCGGTAGAATCAACATATGTTGGGTAACCATATTTTATCAATAGAACAGAAAATATAACGACAAGATACAAAGGGGTGTACAAAAAACCATATGACTGTGACTGTAACTCTTATATTCATAGAACACCGATATTATATCGCACCAACCGGATCGTGACACAATTTATAGGAGAATCGATAAAGGCATGAAACACAGAGCTATACCTTCACCATCAAGACGAAATGATCCACTCAAGCAAAGTATCAATTCAATGTCGAATTTGGCAGGGTGATTCTCTCTCTCTCTACATTATTATTCTGTTTATGTTTATCATCCTCATCCAGCGAGATCAATAAGTAAATACTAGATTGCGAGATCGGCGAGAACAACAAAAACAAATATTGAATATCGTTAAAATATTAGTGATGAAGTACGAATGCAGTTGGAGTTAGACAAGTCTGCCACAGTAACATTCAAAAACGGAAAATGTACCCAAACTGATAATATTATAACAAATACCTGGGCGTAGATAGGAGGGACGTTAAACACTAGAAAATGAAGGTCAATTTACGGAAAGAATACATCCGCCGCATACGTCTTGTGCTGAAAAGAAAACTGCTCTCGAAGAATAAAATATAGCTTTGGCATCCTGAATGAGAGGAGAGAGGAACTTTAAGAAGTAGAAAGAGGAACACGCAAAATGCTCAACTTGCATGGTATGCACCACCCCAAGTCTGATGTACATAAGAAAAAAGAATGGAGGTCGTGGATCAAATGAGATTGTATCTGCGTATAACATTGAGATCGTCAAACTCAGCAAATACATTTCAAATAACAACGACCGTTTGATGGAAGTGGTGAAGCAACATGAAGCAAATAAAGCAAAATACTCTTTGGTATAAATATCCTGAGGAGCCGGTGCGAAGTATTTCCCTGAGGAGTATGCTTGCTCCGAAGTCGAAAGAACGTGCGAACAACTTGCTCTCAGAAACCTCATTGGAAAGCACAGAATTGGATCAATTAAGTGCAAAGTACTTCGTGGTCAATTCTTCCATAGCCTGGAAATGCCTTACATAAATAGAGATAACATGCTATCTTGGATGGACGGTTCAGACCTGAAAGGAGAAACAGAAAGTTTGCTCGTAGCAGCCCAGGATCAAGCCCTAAACACAAGATACCACCAGCGCAAGATTCTGGGCAAAGAAGTCGACAGCAGATGTTTAATGTGCAACACAAAAGAAGAAACCTATCAACACGTCCATACAGGGTGCACAGTTCTAGCAGCGACTGATCTTCTACATCCGCATAAGATATAAATAAATGCTACATACATATATTCATTGGAAAATCTGTAGAAGACTTTAGATTGACGTGACTGGGACATGGTATAGTCATAACCCGCCTACGGTAATCAATAAAAGCGAATGATCAGTACTCTGGGATGACTCAATTATAACCATATCAGCTAATCGTTCCGAAATCGTGATTCGTAATAGGTCAGATAAAATATGGATACTAGTGAACTGCTTTGTTTGACGGTAAGAGACGACGTAGAGGTAAACTCATTTTTTCGGACTTCCATTGTCTGTATTTTTAACTAAATACCTACACAACTTTTCGATTAGTAATTATCTCTAATCGTTATCAAGTGTGAAATGAGAACTTATCCTAGAGGATACCTATCTCTATACAGTTGTGTGCGACCAAGCATGAAGCTCCGCCTCTGAATTCTATGAACCGTGTTTTAGAAGAGGTTCTGTTTTAAGTAGGGATTTTCAAATGTTTGGGATTTCCACACTGGCATTACCAAAAGTTCCAATGTCATACTCAATAAATGCTGTTTCGACAAATTTTCGTTTGGCTTCTGACCACTTCGTTTGGTGTTGCTGAACATGAATGGAGCAATCATTTTACACTTGATAATGATTAGAGATACTTACTAATCGAAACGTTGTGTACTTAGTTAAAAATTCAGACATTGTAAGTACGAAAAAATTAGTTTGGACTTAGCTATCCCAGACAATCAGAACATTACTATGAAGGAGGCTAAAACGATCTCAAAATATAAAGATTTGCAGATAGAAGTACAGCGCATGTTTAAAGTAGAGCTAAAGCTATACCAGTTATAACTGGCTTATTGGGATCAATTGGAAATGGAATACATATAAACTTATATCCTAAATAGATATCTATGGACTGCCAAAGATTGCACTGTTAGGATGAGCCCACATCCTAAGGAGA